ATTATTACTATTTTGATTTTATATGTACATTTGATAGATATGTGTATATACACATTTATATATTATACAAAAGTGTATATATATATATATTACACGCTATAAAATTAACATATGAATACGGGCAATAGTATGGGGTCAAAAGTTCCGGTTCGATCTTTGATGCCAAATTCGTTTTTAATAATCGGCCATCCAACTTTGGAATAACTACAGTAGTTTTGACCCATACTCACCTGGCAAGATGAACTACAAAACTAGGATTTTGTTTTCCTTTTCTTGGTTGATGTTGCAGCAAATATACCAATTGTTGAATAAACATTTACAATACACGTTACATATACATAACTATCGATATTTTCGCATAGGATATAGTCTCCATGTATGTATTTATATTTATGCTGCATTTATGCTGATATATTTGGCTATGTATATTATACATAATAATAAAGTCTTTGAACCAATAATTGTTTGATGGTGGCAATACCGGTTGTTCAGTGCTTCAGGTCGACTGGAAGAAATGGCTGGAGGCAAGGGACTTGGTGAGAGAGCAGTAGGTGCAAATCGTTGGTAGCTGTCGAGCAGCCTTAGGGGCTGGGGGTGCAGGCCAGGGGTGATTGACCCATGAAATCATCTGTGTTTATCCATATTTCCATGATGTTTTTCATGATATGTTCATGACATCCCCATGATATCCTCAGTTCCATCCAGTTCCGCCCCATCCCCTGCTGACTCCATGTGTTCCAGGCGCGGCTCGCGACTGGGTTCCTTCGCGGATGTGGCGCGAGAACATTTCGGGGAGATCCAGTTGGTGGCGCCGCGGCGTGAAAATACATGGCAGGCAGAGAAATCTATAGGAAAATCCACTGACAAAATGGGGGAATCAGAGACGATGTGTCTTTTTATTCAAGGTGGATAAAGCGGATAATTTTCCATACCCTACCAGAGGCTAAGTTTGACCAAATCAATCAAGATGATGGTTTATGATGGTGACTTGTCTAGCGAGGTGTGGTTGAAACTTCCAGTCGGACGTTCTTTTGTGCCGTTGCAAGTGGTTTTGTTTGAACATGTTGGGGAAAGTCGATTCCATCCGCTGGTTTATCAGATATATCATCATTGTTCTAATTTTAAAGGTGGCAATTGTATGGGGACCTAGACTCTCCAAGTACCCCCCAAGAAATTGTACAAGTACTAGGATTGTGAGGTAAAACACCATTTCTGGGTACTTGGAGGGTCTAGGGATACAATACTCGGGTCTCACAAGGAACGTCGTCCCGGGACACCGACACCCAGGATAGCGTTCAGCTGGATGTCTACACTGGACGCGCATGGTTCCTGCCTCTCGGTGATATGCAGTGAGCATTGTATTGTTGGGCTGTGAATGGAAAGCCAATTTTGAACCCTATATCTCTATATAATTATATGATATGATTATATATTGATTATATAATATATGTCGATCTTGTATGGCTACAAGTATGTACAACTGATATGCAACTCAGCCAACAGTTTATCTTTTAGCAGGGTATCCAAGATATGCAATGATCGCCACTGGTGAAATCTTCGTACCCCAACTTGAATTCGGCCCTGAGGTTGTCTGACTCCGTGAACGTGTCTGCTCCCACACGCTTGGCTGGTGTAGAGGTCCGGGGGGGTTGGAAGAAGCTGGTGAAACATGGTTGGTCGGCTTGAAACTAGGTCACATCCCTCCCAACCACAGTTCAATGATTTTTCCCATTGACCTTTGGAAATCATTTAGTCCCCTATGAATCTGTGGGAAAATCATCCATATGCATGGACGATTTTCCAGCAAACCATGTTTGATTAGCGGATGGTATTTTTCCCACTATAGTATGACCATTTTCTGGGGTTCCCCGACGAACCCGCATGGTGGCTTTGCCATTTAACGAGTCAAATCTAAGCGTTTTCAGAGATGTTGTCCACCTTTCACTTGAGACATTCTGAGGACCACTTAGCGTCATTGACAGAGATCAGGAGTGTGCCAATATCGTTACCATGGACGTCTAGCCATGGACTGGATCCTTGATGGTCGCTACACCAACTTGTCCCCAAGTGGAGTGCCATGGGAAGGAACTCTTCGTTGGCTTCTGTTGAACTGTGGCCTGTTCTTGGTTGTTGTACTTCTTGCCTACTGACTTTGTCCTCTCTTCTGTGATGCATCTGGTGCAACTGGGCTACCATCTGGGTTGGATTTTGTGAGATCTATCTATATTTATAGATTTAGAAATTAGATAGATAAATAAATAAATATATATATATATATATATATTATAATTATTATATTAGAATAATGAAATCTCCCCAAGTTATAACATGTCCTGAATGGTTAAATATTCCAGGATTTTGTGATATGCTTAACATTTCCAGGATAAAGTTGTTCACAATATATACCCTTCGCCTTGTCAGACCTGGATCCTGCTGCTGGATGCGTCGAGAGGCTTACAGGTGTTGCGTCCTGTGGGGTTGAGATGGAAGTTTCATGAAGTTTCCAAGTGGTGACGATTTAGTATAATTTGATTTAATAGGATTTAATGAGATTTTGAATGAACAATTAGGACTTATAATGGGATTTTAACAGGGATTTAGTAGGGTTCCCAAATGGAAATCATGGTACCAGTAAACACATTTTCAACTAATTTCCATCTCAAGCAACGCTAAATTTCCATGACTTGGTGTTCCAAATGGTCGTCGAAGGGATTGTGTGAACACTTTTCGAAGTTTCAAGGGACAACGGGTAGTTTTGCGGTATTTTTCCAAGAGATGATCTACAGATGGTATCATATGGCCATATGGCATCGACAAGATTTATGTCTGGTTGGTGGTTTGGAACATGGTTTTTTTTCCATATATTGGGAATAATAATTTAATAACCCCAACTGACTTTAATATTTTTCAGAGGAGTTCAAACCACCAACCAGATGTGATTTGAGCTCATTTGAAGATCAAGAATCATGAGCAATGGTCATGTTTAACAGGCAAAAGGAGTGCTGATTTAGATTGATTTAGCCAACAAACATGGGTATTTGACCAACAAATGTGTGATTTAACTAACACAACTTGTGATTGAACTGAAGCAACAGTAATCATCAGCCGACAAGAACTTGGATTCAACCAGGAAAAAACAGGTATACCCCACCTATGTGCTGGCGAACAAACAATACTATGGAGCATGGCAATAAAGCGTTGGATTTTTTGACCTATTGTTGGATGATGGATGAGAAATGAATGTGGTTTGTGTCGCTTTCCCTTTTGAAAGATGACCTTCATCTCCATCATGTGAAAACAACCTTGGTGAGGACTAGGTTCTATGCTAGGTTGATTTTGTTTGCAAAGTAACACATGATCCAACATGTTTTATTTGGATAACATTCACCAAGTATAACTAAGCAAAAAGTTTTAAAAGGTGCAAAAAGGAACACAACAATAATTCAGCGAGATCCACAAGTGTGTTCCTAGATTCGACGTATGACATATGTATATCTGATTGGTGGTTTGGAACATGGCTTTTATTTTTCCATATATTGGGAATTTCATCATCCCAACTGATTAATATTTTTCAGAGGGGTAGGTATACCACCAACCAGATATAACTAATGGATTGTCCAGTAACCTCTGGCAAGAAGTGCCGGGATTTCCCAGCCATGTTTGATTACCCGGTACCCAATAATCATTATATCGCACATAGTATTTTTGATTATATTCCATGAAATATTCCCTAAAATATCATCTAAAATCCATGAAATTTCAAGTATATGAGTAACTAATGCATGATTTTGTGCTGGTTAAATCTCATAAATATACAATTTTCCAGGTTCCAACCCCATGTTCTCATCAACACCATGGGGTGGTGCAGCCTTGTCACGTCCTGGGAGGCTGTCTCGTGTCCTGTGCCTGCGTCAGAACTTCGACGTTGCGCGCTGTGAGGGGTCGTTGGATGCGTTTTTTTTCAGGAACAAAATTAGGAATGCTGTACAAGAAAGTTCTATATGCATACATAATTGTATATATATATATGGTATGTGTTGCATCTACAATATATATATATATAAAAAGTATATGCATGTGCATGTGCATATGCAGGTATAAAATGTAGATGTGTGCGCATACAGGTACATTTGCACATATATGGATATATAAATATATACAGAATTGTGGTAATTTAACATAGCGAACTGGAAAATCGCCATGTGTATAGTTAGGTCCTGTAAATCATCGTTCATAAATGATCAATTTTATGGGCCATGGCTTCCATAGCAAAGTGTTGAATAGCCAGAGGGTAATCCATATTCATCCGTTACCAATCACTATCAATGGATACTAAACATGAAACATCCCATTAAAGTGTATTAAATTTAGTTAGATCCCCCATTTAATCATGTGTAAACATGTATAGATCGGTTTCATATCGGCAGCAGCTACCCTAAAGTATACTTAGGAGAGAATCCAGTATCACACAAGACAAACACGGGTTGGATGACTTTAATTCCACCAAGGATATTGATATTACACATAAATTGAAAGGAACATCATTGGATTTCGAGCATGCTCGTGAAAAAATGAATTGGAGCAATTGGAACATCTAAGCTGACAAGTTCCATCTTTGCAAACACTCCCTGGGAGTTCGTTGATGATGGGAAACACCACCACACTTGTACAGATCAGATGAGTTGTTTCAGCAGTGGATTCAACGATTTTAACTGGTAGAGGCTACATCAACGAGAAATAGCTACATGAGAAGACATCCCCAATTTGCTCCCAAGTTCTACAATTTGCAACCGCCCGGTCTTAGCTAAAATGCACAATGAAGTAAAGCCAGGGGGAAGAAAACCTTTCAAGGTCTATTGTTGGGGTATATCAGCGGGATGATGAAAAATGACCCGCAAATGGTTGAAAATTGTGCATTGACAATGACTATTATAGGGTTTACCCTCCGGTCATCAAACATATTGAAAATCCCCCATTAGACACGTAGAGCTGAAGCGCTG